TGAACTGGGCCATTTTGAGCGTGTTTTGTTTGCTTGTAAAGAGGAGTGTATGTGTATACGTGTTTGCAGTGTTGAGTAGCGGGGAGAGGAGACAAGATAGCCAGGGCAGAGGCGTATCAGCGGCTTTATACGCAGTAAGCCAGTCCTAAGGCCTTGGACGCAGGCGCTGGGGTGATGACGTGCGCTGGCCGGGCCCCTCCACGCATCCACATCCCACCTTGCGGCTTATCGATAAGCGCATCCCTGCAGCTGCCGCTTAGCGTCTGTCTTGGCGCCGAAAAAGTTGGGATCGCGAAAGTTGCTTGCCGCTCTCAAACTTCCCCAAGGCTGCGCGCAACCAATGCGCCTCTTGCCCACCTCGCCACTCTTTTTCACTACACACACGTAATACCGCGATTACCATGGCGGACCAGCAGAGTAATCGGCCTCATAGGCCCAAGAAGGAAAAGAAGCCACATACGGGAGACAGAAACCCCAAGGCTTTTGCATTTGCTGCGCCGGGCAGGCTAAAGAAGCAGGCCGCGCGATCTTCAGAAGTATGCATGCCCCCATGTGTTTTGTGCGATACAAACTAATAGTTGCAGGTCAAAGAGAAGCGCCTCCACGTACCGCTCGTCGACCGTCTCCCCGAAGAGGCGCCTCCAATCGTCGTCGCCGTCGTTGGCCCTCCGGGCGTTGGAAAAACGACTCTAATCAAGAGCTTGATCAGACGATATACTAAGCAGACATTGTCCACGCCCACCGGTCCACTCACAGTCGTCACCTCGAAGCGCCGACGTCTCACGTTCATAGAATGTCCCGCCGACTCCCTCGCAAGCATGATCGACATCGCAAAGGTCGTCGATATATGTCTGCTGATGATTGACGGCAACTACGGCTTTGAGATGGAGACAATGGAGTTTCTCAATGTGTTGAGCGCCAGCGGTATGCCCGGAAATGTCTTTGGTATCTTGACCCATCTGGATTTATTCCGAAAACAAGAGACACTTAAGCTGCAGAAGAAGCGGCTCAAGCACAGATTTTGGAGCGAGCTGTACCAGGGCGCCAAGCTCTTCTACCTCAGTGGCGTTGTCAATGGGCGATACCCCGATCGCGAAATCATGAACCTGTCGAGGTTTTTAAGCGTGATGAAGAATCCTCGACCGCTGATTTGGAGAAATTCGCATCCCTACTGTCTTGCAGATAGGTTTCTGGATATCACACCCCCGACAGATATTGAGCAAAATCCAAAATGCGATCGTACTGTGGCACTGTACGGTTACCTACGTGGAACAAACTTCCCGGCTGGACGCTCAAGAGTGCACATACCGGGTGTGGGCGATCTCACCGTGAGCTCAACTGAGGCGCTACCAGACCCGTGTCCCACGCCGTTTGCAGAAAAGCAGGCTGAAAAGGTTTCGGGCAAGAAGAAGCGCGCAAGGCTGGGCGAGAAGCAAAAGATTTTGTATGCACCAATGTCTGACGTTGGTGGTGTGCTCGTCGACAAAGATGCCGTTTACATTGATGTCAAGACCGCGACATTCGACCCAGAGGCAGACTACTCTGAAAAGGGACTGGGCGAGCAGATGATGATTGGTCTTCAGGGTGGAAGAAAACTTTTAGGTGAAGACAATGGCCACTTTAGGCTCTTCAGGGATGGCGACATAGTGGACAACAAGAATCTCGACAACGACGATGACGTTGCGGATACTGGTCGAAAGTCGCACCGGACAGCTAGAGCGGCGGATGCGGAGGACGTTGACGATGCAGATCTCGAAGATATCGACAGCGACGACGAAGAGTTGCAGCAAGATCATAGCGACGCAGATGATGACGAGGATGACACTGGGTTCCTTGAAACCCGGCTGCCCCGCAATGATCTCAAGCTTGGACGTAAGGAGAAAGAGGTCAATGGCGATACAAACGAGGATGTGGCATTTGCGGACAGTGACTCGGATCTTGGTTCAATATCTGGAGACGAGAATGACCTTGATGGGCTTGAAGACGGTGACTTTGGTTCAGAAGAGTCGGACGATGAGGATGCTGAAGATGGTGCCCGCTGGAAAGCCAATCTACGAGAGAATGCCGCCAGAATGCATGGGCAGAGGCGACCCTACCGCGTCACTGATCTCGCAAAAATGATGTACAACATGGATCTCGCGCCACAGCAAGTTATTGAGAAGTGGAGAGGTGATGAGAAGGAGGAGGATATTGAAGAAGAGGATGAGGACGAGGAAGACGGCTTCTTCAATAAGCGAAAAGCGGACGATGCTGCCAATGCCGAAGACCGATATATTCCCAAGTTCAACTATGAAGAGTTGGAGGGAAAGTGGGAAGATAAGGACAACATCGAAGCTTTGATGAGTCGCTTTGCAACTGGTCACATGAATGGCAAGGGAGGCGATGGTGAAGAGGACGGCGATGACTTTGAAGGCTTTGATGAAGATGACGAAGGCGACGGAGAATTCGAAGACTTGGAGACTGGCGAGAAGCACGGAGGCGAAACTGAGAAGACTGAAGCTGAAGCTGAAGCCAACTCCATCGAAGCAGAGCGCGAGAAGAACGCGCGGCGGAAAGAAGAGCTGAAACTCCGGTTCGAGGAGGAGGACCGGGAGGGCTTCATGAACGACAAGTCAGACGGTCGGAAAGAAGGCGGCGAAGAGGAACAGTTTGGCGAGGATGACTGGTATGATGCCCAAAAGGCCATGATTCAGAAGCAGCTCGACATCAATCGCGCCGAATTCGACCAGCTTGATGAAGACTCCCGTAAACGCGTTGAAGGTCATCGAGCAGGCACGTACGCGCGCATTGTGCTTGAAAACGTGCCTTGCGAGTTCTCGCAATACTTTAATCCCCGCTTTCCTGTCTTGATCGGTGGTCTCACACCTACAGAGGAGCGCTTTGGATATGTGCAAATACGCATCAAGCGACACCGATGGCATAAGAAGATTCTCAAGACAAACGATCCCCTTATCTTCTCCTTGGGATGGCGCCGATTCCAGACGACGCCCATCTACAGCATCTCGGATTCACGAACACGAAACCGTATGCTCAAGTACACACCAGAGCATATGCACTGCTTCGGTACCTTGTACGGGCCGCTTGTTGCTCCAAATACGGGCTTCGTCTGCGTCCAGAGCCTATCCAACAAGACACCCGGATTCCGCATCGCAGCTACGGGCGTAGTCCTCAACGTCGACGAAAGCACCGAAATCGTCAAGAAGCTCAAGCTAACCGGCCACCCCTACAAGATCTTCAAAAACACTGCCTTCATAAAAGACATGTTCAAATCCGCCTTGGAAATCGCAAAATTCGAAGGCGCAAGCATCCGCACCGTCTCCGGCGTCCGCGGCCAAATCAAGCGCGCCCTCAGCAAACCCGAAGGCAACTTCCGTGCCACTTTCGAAGACAAAATCCTCATGAGCGACATCGTTTTCCTCCGTGCCTGGTACCCCATCAAACCCCACCGCTTCTACAACACCGTCACCAACCTCCTCTGCCCGGCCTCCCCCACGGCCCACCCCGGCGAATCCACCTCATGGACCGGCATGCGCCTCACAGGCCTCGTCCGCCACGAAGCCGGTCTCCCTACCCCCTCCGAGCAAAACAGTGCCTACCGCCCCGTCGACCGCCAAACCCGCGTCTTCAACCCCTTGCGTGTGCCCCGTAAACTCGCCGCAGACCTCCCCTTCAAATCCCAGGCCGCAGTCACAAAGCCCCAGAAAAGCGCAACCTACATGCAGAAACGCGCGGTGGTGCTGGGGGGTGAGGAGAAGAAGGCACGCCGCTTGCTCAGTCAGGTTGTGGCGATTCGCAATGATAAGGTTGAGCGGAGGAGGAAGAAGCAGGATGAGCGGAAAGATGGGTATAGGAAGAAGGTGGAGGAGAATGCAGAGAAGAGGGCGGAGAGGGAGAGAAAGGAGAAGAATGAGTATTGGGCGAGGGAGGGCAAGAAGAGGGCGAGGCAGAGTGATGGTGGTGGGGGTGGGAAGAGGAGGAAGTAGAAGGGGGGTTATATTGTTAAAATGGGCGTTTTACATTATTGCATTTGAAAAATATATATTAGTGTTGACTCTTTTGGTTCTGTTTTTCTCCAAGTCCAATTCATCTGCGTATATGGGTGCGGCGGCAATAGTATTATACCATCAACACCAGAACACAACACAAAGTGAATGCATGGGGAGGGGAAATATCCTCTGTATTCTTCTTCTTCTTCTTCTTCTTCTTCTTCTTCTTCTTCTTCTTCTTCTTCTTCTTCGACTCTCCTTCAACCACCCGCCCATTACACAATATATACACACGCGCACATCGTCATCATCATCTCAAGCCAGGGCTATCCTGCTTTCTATTCTTTCACCACCAAACTACAATCAACCAACCAACCAACCAACCAAGCACCATCACACTTATCTCCTGACTTTCACCCCAATTCCAAGTACAAACAGCCAAACAAGAAAAGAAAAAGGCCCTTGGCGTCTGTCTATTATGCATTCCATCACGCCGCCCAGATGCAAGAAATAACAGGAAGAACAAGAAGGTAACCCAGCCTCTGATCGCCCCCCACATATACAAAAAAACGTGGGGGAGCCAAGGTCGAAATCCCACTAGGCAAAGATGTATATAAAATGCATAAACCACGCTCGCTCCCTTGCTTGCTTCCCACTCCCAATGCTTTCCAACTCCCTCCCAAAAAAGAGTTGGGGGGAAAAACGCCCAATTCACTTATGAACACCCAAAAAACCTATGTAATTGAATGAAAGATGGAAGAAAAAGCTTTTAGTTTCAGTCAGAGAAACAAAAAAAAAGAAAGGAAGAAACAAAAAATGATAATGATATATGGGGGGGTATTTGATATTGAGAAAGTAAAAGAAAAAGTGAAAAAAAATAACACGCGGGTACAAAGCAATCACATGCGACTAGCGCAGCTTAGATGCGAGGTTCCTTGTTTAGCAAGAGTAAGAAGAAGAGGAGAAGGACCAAAAAAAGAACTTTTGCGTTTCTATACCGCTACACACCGCTATTCATGGTCGTTTCTTCGTCTTGCCGTCTGGATTCCTATCTTCAAGGGTAGCGGCGCTGCTACTTGCTGCTCGCTTGGGCGGCCAGGTCGATGGGTCGAAATGTATGGCGACGAGCCATGCGCAGAGTATATTGGCAAGATGGTGCAACACATATGCATATGTCACACCGTAGACTGCCGCGTAGGCGCCGATCGAAAAGAGCAGAATGTTGGTGAAGAAGGAGACACGGAACTCGGCTCGGGGGACCATTCGTCCTGTGCTCAGTGTCTCCACCAGTAAGATGAACGGCATGATGGAGAGGATATTGTGATGCGACGAAAAAGGCGTGAGCCAATGAACAGCGAGATTTCGTATCCAGACTACCAAAACTGGGAGGTTGATTGGCAGGATCCAGAGCATGAGGATGAATATCGAGTGTGCGTAGTTGTAAAAGTTGTAGTTGGAGTCCATACCAGAGTCCCTTGCTAGTCGGAAGGCGCGAACAGTGGTTGCAAGCTGTACAAGACAGAGTACGACGTAGGCAAAGTGATAGGGGATCACTGTCGAGACGAGCGACAGCAAGATGCATGTGATGATAACACGCCGTCGGTTCGATGTTACGGCAAAAGCCGATGGTGATCTCCTACCCTCGTCTTTCCGTAATCTAGCCGGCAGGAAGACAGAATAAAGCGATGCAAAGATCAACTCGAGTATCATTGCAATGTAGTTGACGGCGACGCAGATGCCAATACACATTAGGCCAAACAGCGGTACCAGAAACCAGAAAAAAGTATCGTCCGAACCGAGCAGGAGCTCATTATTGGCATCATCGAAAAGAGCCATTGTATTAGGTTCGCTACCGAGCATCCATTTCTTCGATTGATGTTGGGCGGTAGCCAGAGCGATCGACAGGAATGTGAGCGCGGAAAGGGCGAGTGGCAGCGAACTCTTCAAGCACTCATTGAGTCCTTGAGTAAAGCTCATGAAGACTCCAATATTGTCATAGGTCCGGAATTGTTGTCGTAGAACCAGGGCTACAATTAGGATTGGAAAAGCAGCGAAGACGATACGGTAACGCATCCACAGCTTACCCAGGCTGCCCAGGATATCAACGCTAAGATTAACTTCAATACTGCTGTCGCATGTAGGGTCGGACCAGATCTGCAGCGACAAGCCGTTCTGGGGTTGCTTGGCATGCAGTGCAGGTGGCATGTATGGCGCTATTCCATGCAGGCTGATGCCAGTGTCCCTGACATTGACCGAGAACCGACTTTCATGCACGTCAGTAACGTACTGGCGAAGTAACGGAGCAAAGAGCTCTCCAGCGTCGCACGCTTGTTTTCCAATGTGGATATTGTACGCCAAAAGAGCAGAGTTCAAGACCGGAACTTTGATCGTTGTCACTAAAGAACGGTGGGATGGCAGTCGAAGCGAGAGGCCAGTCGTTAGCAGGCGCTGCAGGCCCGTGTCGACGTCGATTTGGGAATCAAAGGCAGAACTAAATTCAGCCACTACCCATCCAGCATGGGGTTCATGAGCTTTGTCGACTACGGCCACAAACTGATGTTCGCTCAAATGCTCCATGTCGTATTGAAGGTAGGAAAATGGGCGTTGATTTGTTTCAAATGGATGCACTGAGTGACGGGTCGATGCAGGAAGAGCAATAACATCCGATGCAGCATTCTTGCAAGCAAGGCGAGTGGCGCCCAAACTATCGCCCGAAAAATCCATATTCATGGAAAAAAGGGTGGTGGAATGTCCAGGTTGAGAAGTGAAGACACTGCAGAAAAGGACTTCAAGCATACCGTGGCTGCCCGGAGCGTCCAACTGCTCGCTTGTGAGTAGCGTAAACTTTTTCCCCTGGGCCTGAGGAGGGACTGGCATTAGATGCGCATTCGGGCTACGCTGGGATTTACCGAGGCTGCGCAGGACAAGGCGCTCACCCTCTGAGATGATGGCGCTGTTTGCTTCGAGTGTGAGAAGCGTCTTGGCTTCCTTTTGTGGCAAGGTCTTTTCAGCTGCATCCTCTAGCCCTGTCAGAAACCATTTTTTGAAACCGCGCATACGCTCAGCACGTGGTACGGTTTGGGTTGCGCGTGAAACATCGATGACGTCGTACAAGGCGCGCACAACGACCTTTCTGTGCTGATCACACCAAGTAATGGCCAAATGGTCGATTCCGGTCCAGACATTGGGCATGGAGGTTGAGAAGACTGTGAATCCGTGTGTCTCAGGAACCAATGAGGCAATGCTAGTGTAGTCGGACGAAATCATCGTGTCAAGACTTCCTCCGGCAATGGAAATGAGCGTGACATGCCAGAGGGGATTGTCAATGGCCCATTTCTGGGCGTACGCGCGTCGCCAATAATCATTGACACCCTTGTAGGTGCGAACGATGTCTCCATCAAACGAGACCGGGGGCCGGGCATGGGGCGCGGCAAGCGTAATGATGGTATTGATCGAGTTTGCCTGGTAGTTGGGCATGGTGAGCATAGTGCGGGCTACGACACCACCCATCGAGTGTCCGACAATGATGACCGACGTAGGGTCCGGCAGGTTGGGGTCGCGCAGAAATTTACCCGGGGTGTGGTACAGAGAGAGGATAAACGTGACGGCATCATTGAGGTATTCAGCTTGGTCGAGCAAGGTTTGTCCGTGGAAAGCAGTAATGTCTTCGTTGAAGTCGACGGAGAAGAAATCCAGCGGACGCTTGCCCGCCTTGCCAGCATCTAGGTCGTGTTGGACGGTATTGTGGTAGTGGTAGGCTGCCTCTGCGGCGAGGGAGCGGACTTGCTTGTAGCTGCCAGCATTGCCCGGGATGAAGAGGACGGGCACGCCTTGAACCTGAGGCTTGTCAGTGGAATTTCGCACTGGAATAGGAAACGACATGCCCTGAAGTCGTGGTCTAAGCTGGCTTCGCGGTACAAGTACAAGGAGTACTTTGTTGCGAAGCGCGTGTGCTCGGTGTCGAATTGGCTGAACCTGGTGTAGGACGGGCGCATGTACGACATGCCGCAGCCCTTGACGTCTTGTTGGCGCAGCAAGAAGGACTGGGCCATGAGGAACATGGCGACAAAAGCAGCGAGCGTGGTGACGAGGGTGTAGGGCGAAAAGGCCCATGGGTTGCGCAGTCGTTGGCGGCATGTGGTGGTGGTGGTGGTGGTGGAAGTGGTGGTATGCCCGTCGGCAGCACTGTGCGGCATCATGTCCTTGGCCAGGGCAGGCATGGCGAGGGGAGGCTTTTGGTGAGCCATGCTGGGCTGCAGGTGGGCAGGCAGAGGGTGGGCCGAGTCCGGGGCGTTTAGTAGCAATGCCGCGGAGTGGCAGTTGAGGCTATCGTCATGATCCGGAGAGGGGGCAGGTCGAGGGTGGGCGTCGTCGTAGTCGGCGCTGGGGTCGGCGGACGAGCGCCGTCGCATCTACTGCACTACTCTGAGGAGGGAGCTTGGCAGGCTGGGAAGAGAAGCGCCCGGGGCGGGCGGGTGCAGAACAGAGCAGAGGCTGATAGCTGGCCCGCTGGGTCGAGGGAACAAGGGCGGTCTGGACGAGTGCGTGTTCTGGCTCGGGGGGGCGGGAGTCCTGGCTCGCTAAATTTGCGAGGGCTCGCGGTGGATATCTCTCTGCGTCTGAAGCGACCGTCGATGGGGGTGAGCCCGATGTGGTGAGGGGGGAGGGGGGAGGGGGAGGGCGTGGGCGTGGGCGTTATTGAGCGAGGGCGCTGGCAGGAGTGCAGGCGGCCATGGAGGGTGTGGCAGAAAAGGTTGAGGGCCTTGAATGTGGGCGGGTGTGCTTGTATGTTTTGAGCAACGAGCGTCGCAAGCTGCCAAGGAGCGCGAAGTCCAAGTCGTCGAGTCGTCGAGCAGGCCGGCGACAGGACCACGGCAGGGCCCTCGCAGCAGCCAAGGCCACAAGCCGGCTTGTTCGGAGGTTATCGCTGCGAACATGGGAAGATGGGGGCATGGGAAGATGCGGCGATGCAGAGACGAAGAGTTGAGCAGCCCTCGCCCCGGCCAGACGAGAGCATGCGCGTCCATCCATGGCTGTGCATGTTCTTGGGCAAGCTGGCTGGTTACACATCACCACCACTACCACCACCAGGCGAGGCGACTTACTCGTCCATGCATATCAAGTCACGTGATCTATAGCGGCTAGTCCGTTATACTTACTTGCTTGTGCACTGTACACTACACGGCCACTACATGGCATGTAGACGACAATATGCAAATGATAACATGACATTACAAGGCCTGTACACATTGTACTTGAGCGTGCCTTATTCATTCGAGCAGTCTACGTAAACATATGGGTATCAACGCTATAAACGCTTACAAAACAACATCGACTTTTGTCCTTCCTCGTTGACATAATAATGGTCCTCTTCAAGAGGCCAGCTCTACCACGGCGCCCAAAACAGACTGCCAGATGGATGACGTCTGGTTCTGCTCGGCCTGGGCTTGGTCAGCTAGCAGCCGGCGGCCCTGTTCCACTTCGGCCTCCCACTTCAACACGGCCTCCTTTTCGTCGCAAATGGCCATGTCTGTAGGAGCCAGCGCTGCAGCTTGTTCAATCAGAGCCACCGCCTTGACGCTGCTGGCCGTGTCACTCATCAGCCTCAAGCACCTTGCCTGACGAAACAGCATCTTGGCCGCCTGTGCATTACTCGGTCTCCATGTAGCGCCTGCGTGCTGCGCAAACCGCGCACTCGTCGTCTCGCACTTGCGCAGATGCTGAATCGCAACGCGCCCGTTGCGCTGCATCACACTGCCTTGGGACTCGTCGTTGGCCATGTCCACCTGCAGAAACTGCGCATGCAATAGGTTGAGGGTGAAGTAAAGATCGGCAATCTTATTCACAAACCCTTCCCCGCCTGCCTTTTGAAGACCCTGCCATGACGAGCTATGGCGCATGCGCTCCAGTGTGCGCATGGCATATGCCCATGACTGCGAGGCAGAGTAGAAGTTATTTTGCTGCCACTGGCGCTTGCCCACATCCACGCCAGTATCAATCTCTTCAATCGTCGCCATCGGCTCGGTCCAGCGGGGCCTTGCCACCTCGCCCTTGACTGCTTCGGCTACGGCACCATGGACAGGACCGGCAATCTTGAGGTTGGGCACGCCACGCAAACATGATGCAAGAGGCTGCAAAAGACGCTCCTGTGCATTGGGGGCAAAGAAGCGAGTCTGGGCGTAGTCGAGTCGGATGCACGCCCGGATGGATGCATGCTCGCTTGTCGTTGGGTTGGCATCAGACATGACGCTCTCAATGTCGAGCTGCTGGCAAAACTGGGGCAAATCGGACCGGAGCAGCATCATCTCATATTCGGAAAACTGGAAGGCCGAGGGCACAAAGGCAGGCTTGGAGAGCATCACGTGCATGACGTGGCCGTTAAACAGGCTGATGCTGCGTGCATTGGTCGTGATGACGGGAATCCCTTCGCTGAGGAAGAGATTCCGCACATCCAGACCGCGGCAGGTGATGCGCACAAACTGGTTGCGTTTGATCATGTAGTCGGAGGCTTCGGCGTGGATTTGGCGATTGGCGCGAAGGAGGCCGGTGGATAAGCTGCTTGGGACGCGCCTGCTCAGGCTGCTGCAAATCATACTTGGGTCATATTCGACTTCATCATCCCATGAGCAGAGGAGTAAGTCGTAGATGCTGTTACGGATTTCGCCGGGCAGGTCCAGGAATCGAAAGGGCTGTGGGCATGACATGGTGGCGAATGGGTGTTACTGGGTAACAAGATATTTGGGTCGGGGACTCTATTTATCGCAAGGAATGAGTCGGTGTCGCTGCGCTGGGGTCGCAAAGGAGAATGGGTGGGATGCTGGTGGGCAAGAATGTCGCTCAGGAAGTGTCGCTATGGTATGTATGGGTGGGTGTATATAAGGGTAGTAGTCAAGGAGGCGGGAATAGGAATATGTCGCTATGCAAAATTTGTCGCTTGGGAAGACTTGGGGGCTGGGCCAGTCCAAGAGCATATATACTTAGCCCAAGTACTGAGGTCTGTTGAATCAAACCAAGCGGTAAAGAAAAAAAAGGATTGAATTGTGTGTCAGGATCTCGGAATCCAAGGAGAAAATTGCGTACTCTGACCTCTAGACGTGCAGGGGCCAAGGGTGGAAATTTGACTTGCGGCCTTCTTTTGGCAAACTCGGAGAGCACGAGCATGCCTTTATGCTGGCGGTGGAAAGCTGCACGGTTGGCAAGTGGGCCTTTTCTTTTTTTACAGTGAGCTGGAGAATTGCGGCTTCAGCCCTGGTCGGGTGCCGGGCGGATCCGTTCAGGGTGAATGGGTGCAGCGGTGCGGAGAAGGGGTAACAGGGCAGGGCAGGGCCGGTCCTACAGCTGCACTGTGATGTCGTTCCAGGCGCGGCTGGGCGGCATGCACCCGTAGTCCACCCATAGTCCACCCATCTTTCCCGACCTCCCCTTTTGGCCCTGTCCGACGGGAAACCAGCTGCTGCCAACACCAACGGCGTTTACTCGAACTCTGCTCGGGCAACCGGGGACATTGTTCGGACTCTCGAGCAAGCCCAGGTTTCAAGTGACGAGTATACTCGAGTCAAAATACGAGTCGATGCCACTCGATCATCTGTCCCTGTCCTTTTGACCTCACATGCACCATACCATACACCATGCCAAGCAGACTACCACCCCTGCACTCGCATCTTTTGGGCACAAGGCACATGTAATCGTTACCGCTTTAAAGTCCATCTATCCATACACACACACATGTATATACATGAGTACATCCATAGTACACTCCTAAGCTATTAATCGCCCCACTACTACACTCACCGGAAGCACCCAACCTACAGTAGCGTGCCTGCGCGCCACCTGTCATCTTGTCACGATGGAAATCGGATCGAGGATTGACGCATATGAGCATGTTTTTTCCATCATGACCCGTGCCATTCGCTCACGCACCGCTTCGACGTTGCATCACGATGCTTGGTGTCCAGGTCACGTGAATTGCGCCATAGCACTATGTACAGACACCGTTGAGGTGCATTGGCCGGCAAGCCATCTGGTCGCGTCAGACATGTGAAATCGTCAATTATGCTTCTGTCAAAAGGGTCGAGGTCTAGATAAGAGTCAAGGTCAGGGTTATCACGGCCAGGGCCGGATCGACTAGTCCCTGCATCGGTTGCGGCGTCGTGTTGAGGATAAGAGCTTGGGTTATCACCGCGGGGTGCAGAGCCATCGAGCCATGGACGGGGCATGACAGGAACTACAATTGGCCAAATACACAACTACTTCTAGTGCAACGGGAATAACTGGACTACTAGCTCATCGTCGGCCAGCCCCGCATACCAACCTATGCGCTCTCTTCCCGTGTCTTCCTACCCTGCTTCTTCCTATTCGTCTTCTTCCTAGTCGTCTTTTCCTTGTCCATTGCCTCTAGCCACGCTCTCCCGCTGTCCTCGATATCATCTTCAGTCGTCCGCTCCTTCACTAGTGCTATATATGCTTCATTGAATAACACATCCAAATCATCGCCAAAGCCATCCGCAGCATAACCATTGAGAGAAAATTGAATGCAACTTAATGGTACCACACTTTTCCCTTGTAGCCACCCTTGCATCGTGTCGAGCCATATGTCTCTTATTTTCCCCTCTTCTACGCCTTCCTTCCACAAGCGTGCAATCTTACGCACTGGACCCAACTGTTCCGGATACTCGTGGAACGGCGGCTCCGGAAACCAGCCTGCCTCAAAAACAATCAGCTTCGGGAAGAACTGCCTCAGAATCTCCGCGTCCCTCAAGATCTCTACAAACGTCTCCCCGGCCGAATTGTGCTTTTGATAATGGCCAGTTCCGTCACCGCCTTGGGCGATACTACCGTGACTGGGTGCATAACCCCATTTTCCCACTGCCCGCGTAATAATGTCGCGATATGTGTGGCTCACTCTTGTCAGACTCGCCGCGGCTCGTTCGGGAAACAGACGAAGGAGCCCAGTGAGGGGCTTGCTGTAGTCTTCGCGAGGATTGTATTGTACAGATAGCGCAATGGTATTGGCTTCACAGAAGACGTTGAATGCCTCATGGTAAACTTGTTTGGACACTGTAAACAAATTTGAGAAATCATCGCTTTTGCCATAGGTTTCCCAAAAGGGCCTGTCATGAGCAGTGTAGTAGACTCTCCCCGGACGGTATAGATATTGGTAGTATATTTTGTCTCGAAGTTCCCGAGGAAGGTCAAATAACTTGAATGGTCCTCTTGTCATGGAATGACACATGTTGGAGGTAATCCTATTTCGTCGGATTATGTAGGAGATTGATAGACCACTGTGCAGGCTGTACTTGATTGGCGTATACTGTGTGTACCTTCTCTTTCTCAGCAGATGTAACAGAGGCGTCCGTGCGCATGACGCAATCAAGCAATGGGGACGACGGGCGTTATGGCAGGTCCAGCTGCGTTACCCAACTGTTATAGGAATTAGGTCAGCAGAATGATACACATACACTAAAACACCATCTGGTGAGTGCGCACCGTCTGATCTCACGCGAGTGCTCGATGCCGGTAAAAGCCAATGGTCCGAGGCAGGCGGGAGAGGAGGGGTGCAGGTGAAGGCGCAGGCGCAGGCGCATGTCAGCCGTAGCTCCGACGACCAACCGAAGAAGCACTGACGTCCAAGTTTCGCAAAACCTCCCGCAGCTTCCCACATCTCCGCCAATCCTCTTTCTTTCTCTCGCTCCGTCCAACCCAGTCTCCAATCTCTACCATCGCCCATTACCTTCATCATGTTCGCTGCTAGGCAAGCATTCTTCCAGGCCCAGCGCCGCTGCTTCTCCGCCTCGGCCCGCCAGGTACGATTATTCCCGGACATGGCTGCAGCCGCTTTTCATAGTGGGGCGCTCGCAATGTCCTCGCCGCGCGCAATTGGCATTTCTTTTCGGTGCAATGCTAACTGAGCTTGCTGCAGAACTCAAAGGTCACCGTTCTCGGTGCCGCTGGTGGCATTGGCCAGCCATTGTCGCTGCTGCTGAAGCTCAACCCCAGGGTTAGCAAGCTTGCCCTCTACGATATCCGTCTTGCTCCCGGTACGCTTCTACTGCCTTTGCCAATCCATTGAGCATTGGGCGCTTGCTAAATCATGCTGTACAGGTGTCGCTGCCGACATTGGCCACATCAACACCAAGAGCGAGGTACGACAGATGCATTGTGGCCCTTAGTCCGAACAATGAGCTGATGTGTAAAAAAAGGTCACTGGCCACGATGCCACCCCCTCCGGTCTCGCCGAGGCCCTCAAGGGCGCTGAGATTGTCCTCATCCCCGCTGGTGTTCCCCGCAAGCCCGGCATGACCCGTGATGGTAAGCATTGGAAGCAATAGACGCTCGTGTCACAACTGACAGCGACATAGACTTGTTCAACACCAACGCCTCCATTGTCCGTGACCTCGCCAAGGCCGCTGCTGACCACGCTCCCGATGCCAACATCCTCATCATCTCCAACCCCGTACGTACAGTCGGATAATTTGCTATCTAAACACAATGCTCATCCTTTACAGGTTAACTCCACCGTCCCCATCACTGCCGAGGTCTTCAAGGCCAAGGGCGTCTACAACCCCAAGCGCCTCTTTGGTGTCACCACCCTCGACGTTGTCCGTGCCTCGCGCTTCATCTCCCAGCTGAAGAACACCGACCCCGCCACCGAGAACATTACTGTCATTGGAGGCCACTCCGGTGCTACCATCGTTCCTCTTCTGTCGCAGTCCGGCTACAACCTCGAGGGCCAGAAGCTTGACGACTACGTCAGGCGCGTCCAGTTTGGTGGTGACGAGGTCGTCCAGGCCAAGGACGGTGCTGGCTCTGCCACTCTCTCCATGGCCATGGCCGGTGCCCGTTTCGCCGAGTCGCTCCTCAAGGCTGCCCAGGGTCAGAAGAACGTTATCGAGCCCACCTTTGTTGACTCACCTCTCTTCAAGGAGCAGGGCTGCGACTACTTCGCCTCCAACGTCGAGCTCGGCCCCAACGGTGTTGAGAAGATCCACCCTGTTGGCAAGATCACCGACTACGAGCAGAAGCTCCTCGATGCTTGCGTCACTGACCTCGCCAAGAACATCAAGAAGGGTGTTGACTGGGTCAAGCAGAACCCATAAATTGGGTGTTTGAGACGCGAACGATGAATGTATACTAGTAATGACATGAGCTTTTGAACGAGCTATTTGAGCGGATTGGGATTTTATAGATTTTGATCTGTATCCAAACATGCCAAAAGAAAAATCTCCTCTTGATTGTTTTGACTGTGTGGTGGGGGTGCATTCAAGTGAGCGTGGTGACTGAATAGGTATGTGTGAGAGATGGAAAAACATGGTAAAAAAAACCCCCCGAGGTCCATACTTCCAAGACACACATAGTGAAATTCAGAAACAACAGCAGAGAAGGATGAAAGAGGCAAACACAGACGAAGATCCGTTTGTTTTGTTTGATAAAAAAAAGGCAATTGCCCTCTATACAAGTGGTCTACATGTATTGATCCCAACAAGAAGCACCATCTATATGTGCAGTCTCTGTCTACAACTTTGCCTTTTCCTTGTCAAGCGTGGGCAGCATGATATCCCTCATGTCGCCGGCCGCCTCATTGAGATAGAAGCTCATCTTCTCCTATAAAAAAAGCATCATACGTTAGTAAATTTACCAGAACTCAAGGGAAGAAAGAAAAAAAAACAGTATTTTCGGTTTGAGAGGAAGAGGGGGGGGGAAGTGAAAAAAAAACTTACCGAACCCAATCCCTTTGAGCAAACATTAAACTGAATCGAATTCTCGTTAATCATGTAGGCAAGACCCCATCCATCGTCGACGACCTGGCTCCATCCATATCCGTTAAAGTACTCGCTCGAGAGCTGAGAGCTGGAAATGTACCATGTGGAGCTGTAGGTGAATGCAGGGTCTTTGTATAGAGCGGGTAGCTCCTCGCCTTCCTTGAGGCACTTCTTGAGGCCAAACAGGTGGCGGTCGACACCGCGGCCGTCGCTGGCATCCGAGATGTACTTGACGTGGGCGTCGAGGGCTGCGCGCAGCTTCTGCTGGCACTCCTCGGGCGTGGCGTTTGCGTCGGCCATGGCGTTGCAGAAGGCGACGCTCTCGTCGGAGACGGAGCGGCATGTCTCGGTGCGGCCTTGCTGGAAGCGGCGGGTCGCTGCCGACTCGTATGTAGGGCGGTTCTTGCCGTAGAACTTGTGGTAGGCGAGTTGGATGATCATTTGGACGTAGGCGTCTGGGCTGCACTTGAACTTCTTGATGAGGCCCTTGCCGTAGCCTTGGTAGGCCTGTACGCGAAGCTCGTGTGCGGCGATTTGGCGCGAGAAGTGCGACTGGGCATCTTCAATGTCTTGCTGGAGCTCCGGGCTGAGCTCGAAGCGCAGAGGCTTGGGGCTGGGGAGGTCGGAGCGGATGTTGGGGTCGTCAAAAGGGAGGGCGTTGGAGAAGATTTGCTGGTTTGCGTAGTCGTTGATGCGGTGAGTCGGGGTTCCGTCCATCATTGAGTGCTCGCCCATGAAGCCAGAGGTGCCGTTCTCGTTGATGATGAATTGGAGAGGCTTGTCATACCAGCGGTTGGCGCCGTCGCCGTGCCAGTACTGGTGTGCGCGCTCTTCGAGAGTAATCGGGGAAGCGTCGTCAAGGCAGACGACAAATGACGCAGATTCAATGTCTTGCAGAGTAGCGGCATTGACGGGTGAATGGGCCTTGAGCTTAAGGTAGACGTCTGACCATACATCACGGTTTTGCGATGTGAGGGCACCAACGGCGGGCGACTTCTCGGCCTTTGAGTAAATGTAGTCGAATTGTTGTTGGAGCTCAGCAGTGTTTAGCTGCTTGCCATTGACCTCGTGTGCAAGCTTCCAGAACTGGTTTTTCCTAATGACAATGATGTGCTTGTGTTCTTGGTATGGGAACTTGACAGTCGTGTCGGAAGGCTTCTTTGGCACACGGCAGCAGTTGAACATGTACTCGTACGAGCTCATGGCAATGGGAAGCTTTTTCATGTACTCGGGCTCCAGAGTGCACTCGTCGACCATCTTCTTGAATTCCAGCACGGCGGTGGTCATGGCGGCAGCGCGCTTGGTTGGGTTTCTCCTCGACTTGTCGTCGCGGTGTGAGTAAAAGTAGCTGACATATGGGACAACCGGGTCACGGTAGGCCAAGTAAGCGGCGTCATTCCACCACTCGTAAATCCAGTTCTTGTGCTTTGGGTCCTCGCGCCGTGCGACCAGGCGCTCTTGTAGCTTCTCGCCCGGTCCGCCGGGGGCTACGAATTCGTTGACAGCCTTTGTGGTCGCCTCGTATTCGGTCTTGGAGAGCAGCGGGTGAACAGACTTCAGGTACCGCTTGGCGGTCTCTTCTAGTGTGGGGACGGGAAGGCGGGGGAGAGATTCCTCGAAGCGCAACATGGCGCCCTTGGTGTGGTCCTCCTTGTAGCCTGTGTAGATGAAGTCGTTAGACTGGGGGCAATTTATGAAGGTGGGAAAGCATGTGAAAGCAACATTCGCACACACACACACACACACACACACACAGAACTATACACGGGCCACTTACCAGCTGGCAGACTCGACTGTTTCCTTGCTGGAGCCATTGCGATAATCTACACATATGCCAACATTAGCATACACAATGTCTCTTTCTCCTTCTCTCGTCCCCCCCGCCAAAGGTGAATTTCTGCTCCTCAACATACCCTGGGCTTAGCAAACGCTTGCTGGCTGAATATTGGTTTGCGAAGTATCGAGGAGGGTACTCGCGCGCGGGCAGCTCTGCTGAACATCACAAAGAAAGAGTAGAGAGAAGTAAAAGGTAGGCGACAGATAAAACGACGGCAGGATGCGACCGAGTCCTAGCTTCAGCAGATCCGAGGCAGAAAGAGCACGCGCTGGCTGACTTTACTAGGGCCGTCGCTGTGAAAAGAGCGCCTGGGGGTTGGGCCGAGGTTGAGTCCAAACAGGCTAAGCCTACCCGGCAACCACAGCGTGACGTAGGGAGCCACACACTTGACACCTGACGCCCGTTGGACCGACTGTCCTGTGATTCTCTCCTGTAACCGACATGTGCTTGTGGTTGGACAACACGCGTTCAAGATCATCAGCCTGTATGCCTTTATTTGGCCAGCGTGGTGGACAGCCAGCCAGCCAGCCATCCGTCCGGTGCAAGTACAGACACATTCGACCTTGGTCTTCCCCACGACGAGACAGTCGCACGGACGCAGCACGCCGGCAGAGTCGGAGGTGCCGAGGATTATGGACTTCTGGCCGAGCTTGCATAGTATGGGTGTATGCACTACTGTATATGCTCGTACGAAGTGTCTACTACGCGTAACGTGTATCACCAGTGTGCGCCCCACCCCAGTGTGCGCCCCACGAAATCCTAGTACCTCACCTTCGTAATAACAACGCGTAATGTCTCAACAACGCCAAGCTCTAAAGACCTATACTGAAGCTGACGTTACTATTGCTATCTCTGATCTACAAAAA